TGGATTCAGACATATTTCAACAGTATAGGATAGTAATGCAAGAGACACAATTCTTTAGTAACACCTCTATATTAGTCTTGTTCAAAAGAGTAGACCACAAGAATAATGGGTTTAGGATGTACAACACCAGTTAAAGTGGAGTTCCACTCGCTTTGTAAAAAAATAAAAGTCAGCAGATACAAAAACTGTAGACTTTTAAAAAAAAGCCTCTCACCTCTCCCACAATCCCGCGGTGTCCTCCCTGCAGCCCGCTATTCTGTGCTCCAGATGCATCTTCAGTGTGGGCACCTGGCTGTGACAGCTTGCGGCTTCACAGCCGGGTTCCCACTGCGCATATGTGAGTAGCGCTGCAACCCCTGAATGGCCCTATAGTCTTCTGGGACCTGTCATGTGTTCCAGAAGACTACGGGGAGGGTAGGAGGACAACTTCCGCTTCCGATCGCCTAGGCGATCGCAGTGGGAGTGGGTACCTGTAAAATTTGTGTATCCACTCCCCAAAGGTGCTAATCCTTAATGGGGAGTGAGGGACCAGTCTTTAAAGCAGAACTTTCCCTTTTGGGTGGAACTCCCCTTTAATGCAATAAAATAGAACACTGGTAAAATAGGAATAATCAATTAGCAACATTTAACAAATTCTACAATCATGAATAGTAATAGGCAGCAACACCAGCAGTAAGAGGTGGTAGAAAAGGCTTGTTGACTTACCAGCTCCCTCTAGGCCACCAGCGCTGCAACAGTGGATGCAGAGAATTATGTAAATATATGAACCGACATAAATAGATCTAAGTATTCTAATTTGAATAACAATGGCCTTAGAAGAGAAGAGGTCCATTTTTTACAATGTTTTTACAATTTTTTACATACTTTGACCAGAGCAATGCAGTGTTACCATAGTAACACTGTACTACTCTGAGGAAATGACCAGGATTTTTATTTTTTTACACTATGATTGCTTATAACCATGATGAGCACTGTTATAATCAATCATTTTATGAATGGCATCTATTCCTGTGCCATTATGTACTGTACAATTATCAGGGTCCTGTCAACAGCAGAAGTTCTGGAAGATCTGGCATTTCTGCCAGTACCCTGCATGGCCGCAGAAGCACACATCAGCCTCAGTTTGGTGTCAGACGGCCTTTATAAGGAGGCTTATCACTTCCTCAAGTTGCTGGATGATCTCTAGTTCCTCGTGCCCTGTTCCTGTTTACTGTGATTGTGACCTGTGATTTCCTGATACCGACTCGGCTTGCTTCTGGACCTGTCTACTCTGATTTACCCCTGATCTGACCTTGACTTGGTTTACGGATACTCTCTTGCTCCTCTGTATATGACCTCGGCTATCCCATCTAGCTTTGTCTGCTCTGATTCCCACCTTGTACCTGACCTTGGCTTGAACCGACTACCCAGTAAACATCTAAATCCTGGAAAGGCTTGCATACCACCCACAGGCGCCTCTTGTATGCAGACCTATCTCCGTGCACCAGCTGTGATTCTGAGTGGACCACCAACCAGCACTCCTACAGGTGACCTGTGCAACTTTGGGCCTGACTCCCGCTGTCCCACTCTCAGGGGAGTCCGGAACTTAGCCCTCTCTCCATTGGCCTCCATCACCAGGTACCTGATAACAATTGTGATAGCTGTGATTGATCACAGCAATCACATGGTACTGGGGCCAGCCCGGTACAATGATCTGTCATCTGCTCTGTCCAGTGAACACGGTAGGTGACAGATCAAGCCACAGTGTGGCCGTTAGAGCATGCAGGAGGTGTTTGATTTGGAGGACATCATATGGTGTCCTCCCAGAATAACAGTGCTCCTCTCGGCCATCATTTGACCATAGGCGGGGCATGAGGTAGGTAAAAGGAAAATGAACTGTAAGACATTGAACATTCTTTGTTTTTGAAACATCTAGAATGTGGTTAGCTGATGTAAATTGAAGGTTTCAACTAAGCAGATAAAAGAGTATGTGACAGCTCTAACAGAGTCATAGACCTAAATTGTGAGTGCCCTTCCAATGCCAGAAAACCAGCTGAAATGTTTCCATCCAGCTCCTTCCTTTCAGTTAAAGGATGCTGGGTGGCATAGGGCTGACAGAGCCACTCACGTAATTGGACTGGTTCATCCAGACAAAATGAACAGCTTTACTGTCTCTCAAGACGTTATCAGCAATAAAATGAAAAAAAAAAAAAACCTGAAGCGACTTGGTTTATATACACGTTACTAATTCTATGGGAACAGTCATTCCAACCTCCTGTCACACTCTGAAACATTATGCATGTGCAGCTCTTATGACACCTGTCCTGTAAATTGTATCTTTCTCAACTCAGTAAATTTTGGCTGTATAACCCCAGGTAGGGTCAGCAATCAGAGTTGACCCCAGCACTATCAGACCATGTAATTAGACAAATAAAGTTGTCATGTATTCAGAGGAGATTCCAGAGTGAGTTATGAAGTGTGACAAGAGTGGTGTCATTGGTTAATACCTGCACTTTGTTCTGGACAGACACACAGAATGAGGGCTGAAGCCTTGCGGAGAGATTAATGAGGCCTGGGGGCTGAGACTTCCACTCAGTACCAGATGATAAAGACACAGTCTGACCCGATTACAGAAGTAGAATTCAGCCAGACTCTTCATCATTGTGTCTTGAACATCATCTTCTATTTTTTGTTATCTGTGTGGTGTAACTGCTCCACACTGCTGGCCCTGGACTCTAAACACAGCACTGTGGCTATAAGAAAAGGAGTGTTATCTATCTTGCATGCGTCAGTGGGGTCAGTCTTTGAATTGTGGGGTGATGTTGGATATCCACAGGTCCTATAGAAAAAAAAAGTGCGGTAGCATTCTTCAGCCACGCATAAATGACCCATCTTAAATGACGCATCATGCCAAAAATGATATGAGGTTTGTGCTGAAAGTAATGCAAACATGGGCCAGGGGTGGACTGACAACTCATGGGGCCCCTGTGTCCTTGCCCAAACTCAAAAAAGCCTATAAAAAAGGTACCAGGGGCATCTCATGGGGCCCCCTACTGACCCCGGGCCCTCGGGCAGTGCCCGAATTTCCAAATGGTCAGTCCGCCCCTGGCACTGGCATAACTTTTTTTTTATTAACTCACATAGGTCATTCAGATTTCACATGTTAGTAGAGTAACTCTTCCTCTATAAACTTGACATACTCTTCTTTTTCATTTAAGGAAATAACAGATTCCAATCATAAGCAATACGCCATCATTGAGCTCCTGACAAAGGAGGGCTGTCCGACATCCACAGAGGGCTACAGAATGTATAGGGAGATGACACCATTGACAAGAGCAATGTCTTATCATTGTCAACACTTGTCAACTGTGTCATCTCTCTAATAATTCTCCTATTTGTCTTCAGTAGATCTTGGAAGGTTTTGAGATTTTACTCTTGAGTTCTCAAGTATGCAAACTTGCTACAACAATTACCAGGGTTGTTATCTCTCAGGAGATATTTGGTTTATATTAGATTAAAGGTATAAAGTGCCATCATATAGAGGTGCCTGGACTTACTGTAGCAGCTTTTGTTGACGATTCTATGTCCGAATGTCAGGCTGTTCTGAACAGGCCACCTACTTCCAATTTACCAATAACTACAGTGTGATGGCTACAAGCCATTCGATTTATGTTGAATAAGGTAGATCTTTGCATTACATAGTTGTTGGAAGATCTAAAAAGAGACTGTACAATCAAACTACAATGTGCGTGGCTCATTACCGCACATTGACTCCCCAATCATTTTGAGTAAAGACTAGCTTAAAGTAGATGTCAGTCCTAATTGCACCCCTGAACTCTACTATGTATGTAGTGCACCCCTGAACTCTGCACTATGTACGTAACGTGCGCCTGAACTCTGCACTATGTACGTAGCACACTCCTAAACTGTATTATGTACGTAGCGTGCCCCTGAACTCTGTACTATGTATGTAGCACGCCCCTGAACTCTGTACTATGTACATAGCACACCCCTGAACTCAGCACTATGTACGTAACATGCGCCTGAACTCTGCATAATGTATGTAGTGCACCTCTAAACTCTGTACTATGTACGTAGCGTGCCCCTGAACTCTGTACTATGTACGTAGCACACCCCTGAACTCTGTACTATGTACATAGCACACCCCTGAACTCTGTACTATGTACATAGCACACCCCTGAACTCTGTACTATGTACATAGCACACCCCCTGAACTCTGTACTATGTAAATAGCACACCCCTGAACTCTGTACTATGTACATAGCACACCCCTGAACTCTGTACTATGTACATAGCACACCCCTGAACTCTGTACTATGTACATAGCACACCCCTGAACTCTGTACTATGTATGTAGCACACCCCTGAACTCTGCACTATGTAAGTAACGTGTGCCTGAACTCTGCACTATGTACGTAGCGCTCCCCTGAACTCTGTATTATTTACGTAGCACACACCTGAACTCTGCACTATGTATTTAGCGCACCCCTGAACTCTGCATTCTGTGTAGCGCACTCCTGAACTATGTACATAGCACACCCCTGAACTCTGCACTCTGTGTGTAATCCCCCCAAAATCTACAGTATGTACATAGCGCAACCCTGAACTCTGCACATAGCACACCCCTGAACTCTACTCTATGTGCGTAGTGCATCCCCGAGCTCTGCACATAGGGCACCCCTGAACGCTGCAGCAGGTGTGTAACCCCCCCCCCCCCAAATTTGCACTCTGTGCATAATGCCCCTTTAAGAGCCTCCCACTGTTAGTGAAATCTGATCACACCCACTATTTGATGTGGCTTGGAGGATGTGTGTGTATAGGGAGAGGGGTTAATGGGTGCCTATTTTCTGCACCTATCTTCTGAGAAATAAATCCCTGATCATAAGCAATTGCCATTTTTTCCCATTAACCTCTTGCCGACCGCCTGCTGTTGATAAACGGCAGGGCGGTGGCACTCCAGGGGCGGGTTGCCGTTCATAAACGGTACCCGCCTTTTCTAGCTGTGCGCGCTCCCTGGGAGCGCGCAGCACCGCGATCCGGTGCCTGCTGTGTCCTCCGGACACAGTGAAACACCGATCGTCGGACATGTGATCACTGATTGGCGAATCAGTGATCACATGCAAAGTAGTAAGCAAGATGTCACTTGTGACATCATTGCTTACTACGTGTGAAATCTGTGAATGATCACAGAGGTCACATGGTACAAGGCTATTCACAACAGCCTTGTACCATGTGACAAGCTGTGACCAATCACAGCTCACTCAGTACTTCTCAATGACTGCAAGAATGCAGACAGAGAGAAAGAGAAATGATTGCTTTTACATCCTATATGGGTGTAAAAGCAATCAGTGTAAAAAAAAAAAAAAAAATCTTCATCACCCCCCACAAGTAGTACAGTGTCACCATGGTGACACTGTAATGCTAGGGTGACAGTATGTAAAAAAAATAAATAAATAAATAAAAATAATATAAAAAAAAATAAAATAAAAATGTGAAAAAAATGTTTAAAAATTACAATTTTTGGTTATAAACTAATTTGGATTTTTTTTTTTACTAAAAAAATAACGTAATAAATTTTGGCCAAGATTTATGATGAAATATTATTTATTTGCAAAATTGTATTAAAAAAAACACTTTTTTTCAAAATTTTTGGACTTTTTCATTTACATAGTAAAAAAAAAAAAAATCCCAGTGGTGAATAAATACCACCAAAATAAAGCTTTATCTGTCTCAAAAAAATGGTAAAAAATTCATATGGGTACAGTATTGCATGACCGTGCAATTGTAATTCAAATTGTGATAGCGCTGAAAGCTGAAAATTGCCCTGGACAGGAAGGGGGTAAAAGTGTCTGGACAGGAAGTGGTTAAATACTGTTCTCATAATTTTTTGCAGTCTCAGTGTTGCTGATCTCCTTCATCCTTGTACATGCTCCTGTGTTTGCTGCAAATGATTGCTTTGGACCAGTTTCCAGAAAGTGACAACAGTGGACCATGCCTGTGTAACAAGTAACCAGGGTGCACTTGACAGTTGTTACCCCATAACAGGAAGTGTCTCACCAAGGACCTTCGTGGCCATGTATACTTTTAATGAAATAAACTAATTTAAAAAGATTGGAAACAACATTTACCATTATGTTAATATATTAAATCTTCCCTGAGATTTTAGGGATTGAGTTTAGATCTACTTCCAGCTGCTCTGGAAAAAGATGGTGTGGTTGCTTTGAAGGAGCACAATACAGTGATACGTGAACAAAAATGAGTGTATGGTTGAGTGGCCTTTAATGTGTCATCATATTGTGCTCCTTGAAACAACCACATCGTCTTTTTTCCAGTGAAGCCTGTGAGATTTTTCTTGTATCCGAACAATTCTTCTGTCAGTTGTGGCTGCACTCTTTCTTGGTCTACATGACCTTGGCTTGGTATCAAGAGATCCCCAAATTTTTCACTTTTTAACAATGGATAATTGAACAGTACTGACTGGCATATTCAAGGCTTTGGATATCTGTCTCTATATCCTTTTCTATCTTTATAAAGTTCCATTACCTTGTTGAGCAGATCTTTTAGCAGTTCTTTTCTGCTCCCCATGGCTCAGTATCTATCCTGCTCAGTGCATCCACGTGAGAGCTAACAAACTCATTACTATTTATTCACAGACACTAATGCAGGCCATAGATGGGTCGAAAATCGGCCGATTTGTCGGCCGAAAATAAAATCGGCCGATTTTCGGATCGTTAGTGGGCGATTTGGTCGGCCGTTTTTCGGGATTTTGGCCGTTTTTTTTTTTTTTTGGTAAAGTTGGAAAAAAATCGGCCGATCGGCCGATTTTCGCGGCATTAATGGGCCAATCGGCCAATTTTTTACCGATAAAAAATCTGCGCATGAGCAGTGACCTGCAAGAGGAAGACAAAAAGAAGAAAAAGAAGAAGAGGAAGAGGATGAAGAAGAGGATGAAAAAGAGGATGAAGAAGAGGAAGAAGAAGATGAGGATGAAGAAGAGGATGAGGAAGAAGAAGAAGAGGATGAGGATGAAGAAGATGAGGATGAAGAAGAAGAAGAAGAAGAGGATGAGGATGAAGAAGAAGAAGGAGGATGATGAAGAAGAAGAAGAGGATGAGGATGAAGAAGAAGAAGAAGAAGAGGATGAGGAAGAAGAAGAAGATGAGGATGAGGATGAAGAAGAGGATGAGGAAGAAGAAGAGGATGAGGAAGAAGAAGAAGATGAAGAAGAAGATGAAGAAGAAGAAGAAGAAGAAGAAGAGGATGAGGATGAAGAAGAAGATGAAGAAGAAGAAGAAGAGGATGAGGATGAATAAGAAGAGGATGAGGATGAAGAAGAGGATGAGGAAGAAGAAGAGGATGAGGAAGAAGAAGAAGAAGAAGAAGAGGATGAGGATGAAGAAGAAGATGAAGAAGAAGATGATGATGAAGAAGAAGAGGATGAGGATGAAGAAGAAGAAGATGAAGAAGAAGAAGAAGAAGAAGAGGATGAGGATGAAGAAGAAGATGAAGAAGAAGAAGAAGAGGATGAGGATGAAGAAGAAGAAGAAGAAGAAGAGGATGATGAAGAAGAAGAGGATGAGGATGATGAAGAAGAAGATGAAGAAGAAGAAGAAGAAGAGGATGAAGATGAAGAAGAAGATGATGACGAAGAAGAAGAGGATGAGGATGAAGAGGAAGATGAAGAAGAAGAAGAAGAGGATGAGGATGAAGAAGAAGATGAAGAAGAAGAAGAAGAGGATGAGGATGAAGAAGAAGAAGAAGAAGAAGAGGATGAAGAAGAAGAAGAGGATGAGGATGAAGAAGAAGAAGAAGAGGATGAGGATGATGAAGAAGAAGAGGATGAGGATGAGGATGAAGAAGAAGAAGAAGAAGTAGGATGAAAATAAGAAGAATTCCAGTCCAGCAAAAAGTATCTCTGCAGAGAGCTCCGCTATTTCTGACAGTTCTCATCTGACAGGATGAAGAAGAGGATGAGGAAGAAGAAGAGGATGAGGAAGAAGAAGAGGATGAGGATGAAGAAGAAGATGAAGAAGAAGATGATGATGAAGAAGAAGAGGATGAGGATGAAGAAGAAGAAGATGAAGAAGAAGAAGAAGAGGATGAGGATGAAGAAGAAGATGAAGAAGAAGAAGAAGAGGATGAGGATCAAGAAGAAGAAGAAGAAGAAGAAGAAGAAGAAGAAGAAGAAGAAGAAGAAGAGGATGAAGAAGAAGAAGAGGATGAGGAAGAAGAAGAAGAGGATGAGGATGATGAAGAAGAAGAGGATGAGGATGAGGATGAAGAAGAAGAAGAAGAAGTAGGATGAAAATAAGAAGAATTCCAGTCCAGCAAAAAGTATCTCTGCAGAGAGCTCCGCTATTTCTGACAGTTCTCTGACAGTTCTTTGACATTTACAGCGGTTGAAACATTGTATCTATTTGTTTCCGAATAAAAACATCTGTATCCTAAATGGAAACAAATAGATACAATGTTTCAACCGCTGTAAATGTGAAGGAACTGTCAGAGAACTGTCAGAAATAGCGGAGCTCTCTGCAGGGACACTTTTTGCCAGCTGTAGAAGGGATGAAAATTGGCCGATTTTTTTTACCATTGATGGTAACGTCGGCCGCTTGAACGACCGAATTTTCGTTTTTTAAAAGAAAAATCTGCCGTTTTTTCTCCCCATCTATGGCCTGCATAAGTGTAATTTAAAAAGCCACAGATGTGGGTAATGAACCTTTAATTGGCATTTTACCCTGTGTGTGTCACCTTGTGTGTCTGTACCAAGGCCAAACATTCCAGCGGATGGAAACTTTTGATCAGGACCTTTTGGGTGATTTCTGCTATCATTATGATTAAAAAAGGAGCCAAACAACTATGTGACAATACATTGCTTCATATGATCACTATCCTTAAATAAAATACTGTTTTTGCAATGATCAGTCATATTTTCAATATAAATGCAAACATTTAACGATTTCTGCCAGGGTAAGCAAACGTTGAGCACAACTGTAGATATGAAAAACATTGTAAATACTTTTTTTTCCACTTTGTATATATTTTATATATATATATATACTGTATTTAATTTGAAAAATGTATTAGAAATGTACTACCACATCCGTCCAGAAAACGGTGCTGTTAGCCTGTTGAATGCATTTAGATTATAACAAAACAGACGTTACACTATATTGCCAAAAGTATTGGGACGCCTGGCTTTCCACACACATGCACTTTAATGGCATCCCAGTCTTAGTCCGTAGGGTTCAATATTGAGTTGGCGCACCTTTTGCAGCTACAGCAGCTTCAACTCTTCTGGGAAGGCTGTCCACAAGGTTTAGGAGTGTGTCTATAGGAATGTTTGACCATTCTTCCAGAAGCACATTTGTGAGGTCAGGCACTGATATCGGATGAGAAGGCCTGGCTCGCAGTCTTCACTCTAATTCATCCCAATGGTGTTCTATTGGGTTGAGGTCAAGACTCTGTGCAGGCCAGGTCAAGTTCCTCCACCCCAAACTTGCTCATCCATGTCTTTATGGACCTTGCTTTGTGCACTGGTGCGCAGTCATGTTGGAACAGGAAGGGACCATCCCCAAACTCTTCCCACACAGTTGAGAGCATGAAATTGTCCAAAATGTCTTGGTATGCTGCCGAATTAAGAGTTCCCTTCACTGGAACTAAGGGGCCAAGCCCAACCCCTGAAAAACAACCTCACATCATAATCTCCCTTCCACCAAGCTTTACACTTGGCACAACGCAGTCAGGCAAGTACCGTTCTCCTGGCAACCATCAAACCTAGACACGTCCATCAGATTGCCAGACAGAGAAGCGTGATTGGTCACTGCAGCGAACATGTCTCCACTGCTCTAGAGTCCAGTGGCAGCGTGCTTTACACCACTGCATCCGACGCTTTGCATTGCACTTGGTGATGACGTAAGGCTTGGATGCAGCTGCTAGGCCCTGGAAACCCATTCCATGAAGCTCTCTACACACTGTTGTTGTGCTAATCTGAAGGCCACACCAAGTTTGGAGGTCTTTAGCTATTGACTCTGCAGATAGTTGGCGACTTCTGCACACTGTGCTTCAGCATGCGCTGACCCCACTCTATCATTTTACGTTGCCTACCACTTTGTGGCTGAGTTGCTGTTGTTCCCAGTTGCTTCCACTTTGTTATAATCCCACTAACAGTTGACCGTAAAATATTTAGTAGCAAGGAAATTTCATAGATTAACT